AGTCAAATCTGTTGTCATGTCTCATAGTATTTTTTTTTACATGCATTATTTAAAGTGTTTGTTTCGAGGGATCTCTTCTTAGGAAAGAATCGGAGAGAGAAACTTGAAAGATGTAAACATAGAGCTTTCCATTATGGTTTCATCATGTTCTTTTTTTTTTATTTTGTTTTTTTTTTTTCTTTATTTTGCTTCTTTCTTTTTTTAGTCTGTCCCTTTATTTGTTTTAAATATTTTTTTTGCTTTTATTTTCCTAAGTCATTATCTTTTTTTTTTTTTTCTTTTTTTTTTTTTTTTTTACAGTGTCCTGTCTGGCAATGTGGCAATAAGAATAATTGTCTTGATGCCAAAAAGAGCCCAACAGATTTTACTTTCACAAGTGTAGCAGTATGGCAATTGCCATATTGCTCCACTTGTTTCATGCATATAACTTGCTTTATTATAATTATGCAGGGAGTTTTACAGTTTATATGGACACTGCAATGTAAATAGAGCAGAAAAACAGAAGTAAAGCACTGTGAATAGTCCATTTACTGATTGTGCTATACAAATCAAATTTGCCTTGCATTGCCTTGCCTTCCATTGCAGTCAACAGCACAAACCCACTAACCTGTCTGTTGTGTTCATGATGTTATGTGTTTACTAATGTTCTCTGAGGTCCTGTCAGAAAAGCCATATTATGTTCAGATTACTGCGATTTACTAATTTGGAGACTTTTGATGAAAATCAGTGGCCCTGAATTTAAGTAATTACACATTAGAAAGTCGGAGCCAAACTGAAAGCAACTAAAAAGTTAATCTAGCCCAGATATGTTTGCTAATATGACAAAAATGGAGCAAGTTAAAATAACATTTTTATTCATTAAATTATGCATTAATTAGTTTTGCAATTAGTGATTAATCCTTACTAGTTTTGTGTGCTTGTGTAGTTTTTTAATGCTAGTACAGCGGAACCAAATAACATCTTTATTACTTTTGAAAAATTTTAAATGCATTTTTAGCCTTGTTGGAATAAAACCACAACATGTTACCAAAAAAACTTGCTTTTGTAATAAATCCGCTGTGCATGTTGGTATGTAATGATAACATAACAGCTTTCAATATTTCTGGCTGCAGCAAGCGCCAAACTGTTGCTGCAGCGAAACGAACTCCACTGCTGGACTTGTAGACTGGTTTTGATTTGCAGCCCTGTGACAGGCCCGCCATGCCCACCCACATCGCTGCGATGTCAGGAACGAATATTTAAGGCTGCGGGGTTAAGCAGTCAAAAGGCAGTTGACTTAAAACATGAGCAGAGATGTTGACAAAGAGACACACGGTAACTTGACTGTCAGTATTGTTGAGATGTTAAGGATGTTTTGGAAATTTATGACAAAGAAGTAGATATATGTTAATGTAAAAAAAATATATATGTATGTTTTTATATATATATATATATATATATATATATATATATATATATATATATATATATATATATATATATATATATATATATATATATATATAGATATATATATATATATATATATATGGTTAACATAACGGACATTATGGCCATGAGTTCGCCTCCTCAAGTTTCCTGTGGGGGTCAGAGGTGCTTCCCGGTGCAGATTCAGCAGGAACAAGTGGTAAACTAAGAGGTGTCAATTCAAAAATGTCCCTATACCTAATTCCGGGGTTAAATGATTCCAGAGTCAAACCTGCCTTGGCTTCAGCGTCAGTTGCGGGAATCGGAGTAAAGGGGTCTGATTACAGACATTCATAGCAATTTTACTTGTTTTGCTTACAAAACATAAATAAATATCTAATTTTTCCTCCCCTTTACAATCATGCTTTACTTTGTGTTGGTCGTTCACATAAAATCCTAGTAAAGAACATTAAGTTTGTGGTTTTAAAGTGATTGAATGGTCAAAAGTTCAGGGTTCACAAAAATCCTTGCATAAGCCAATGATGCAAATAAAATGCAAATAAAAAGGCTACTATTTCACAACAGACTAAATTCTAATGGAGCTGCACTTGAGTGATCACGTTAATGAAGACATAAGGACATGTGATGATAAGCAGGTTTATAATCTGACAAAGTATCTTACAAGCCAACGCTTGCTTTCACTGCATTCTGTTACAACCTATAAGCTTTTACATGAGTGTTTAGTTTCCAGCTCTGAGGATGAGTGAGGTTATAACTCCCTATTTTTAACTCCTGCTCACAGACTTACTGGACCTCTGTGTTACATTCATTACAAAACAGCCCACAGCAGCAGGTTTTTCTCTGCAGAAGATAATGACCAAAATCCTCAACATTAAGGACAGCAGCTGACCTGCTCCTGACACAACATGAAAGCTGGTTTCAGCTGAACCAGGTGACTGCCTGAGGCCTAACCGGAAGCAGGTAGCAGGGAGCAGAGGAAGTGCAGCATGAGGCGGGTGGACACGCCTGGCTGGCCGTGGCAGCGGCCATGTCGCTCACACCGTGGCCCCCACGCCACCCGTGTCAACACTGATGACTTCAGCGGGTGCCCTTTAAGCTCACCTTGCTAGGAGAGGCGCAGGAAGTGGGGTCAGAGCCGTGACAGTGTCGGTGGGGTTTAATCGTGTCATACCTTCTCTAGAGGGGAGGGGGTTTGTCCAACACATGCAGCTGCTAATACCCCAGGGTTATCTGTTTCATCTGTGCTTATGAACCTGATCCTCTGTCCGCGCCGAGCTGCAGACGACTCAGAACAAGGTCTCCAGCACCAAAGCTTCTTACTGTACCAAGTGCCAAACCACTTTCTGTTTCAGCCAGATCACAGAGTCATGGTCATAAGATGAGGAACCATCTGCAGGCCAGAAATAATCTGGTTTTCACCAGGTTCTAAAATTGTTCAAATCTAAACTGAAGATTAAAAAACACACAATAGTTTCCATCTTGTTATTGTTAATAAAGCAAGATTAAGGCCAAGATTTTGAGTTCCCTTGATAGAACCTTGATAGATATTGCAATATACCCAAGATTAGGATTTCGGTGACAAAACTGTGGGCCTGCTAACAAGGTTTGTCCAGGTATTGAGTATAAGTGCTAGGTTAGGGCTCTTTTTGCATATACGTTAATACAGCGCAGCATTAAGAAGATCAGTCTGTGGTTCTGCTTATGATCCAGTGGAGGCGGTTTGATAGCAGCCTTCATTTGCATTGTTGGGTCTGGTCCTTGTCAACTTATTGACAGTACTCTTTATCATATTGGGTTCGGACCCGTTAATGAAGTTAAGTGATAATGTTGACATGGTGAGGTGTTGGTACCATTGGCAGTTAGCAGTGTGGGTAGGGACCAAATTCTTGCAGAAAAATAAAATCCGCGTCTAAATAACGCTTTTCAACATAAGGGGCTTTACATTTCCAAGTGGGTGCCAATTGAGATGACATGGCACAAAAACCCTCACAGTGGAAATATCACACTGGAACACACTCATCATGAATTGTGGCTTTGCTGGCCTCTTCCTCAAGACTATACTTCTAGATTTCCAAATAAGATCCAAACAATGTCTCCCTTTTGCTGTGAAATCTCAGAGATCTCTGGTTCAGATGTGGATTCACACCAGAAATCATTAGTTGCATCTGGATATATAAGCTGTGGCTCTGACTCCAGCAACAGTCCAGGCCTTGCAAAGCCTTACAGTCTAACATGCTGCGCTTCACAAAGGAGATTTTATCTGTCTGGCTTGAGTAACTTTTGCCATCAACTAAATCTTCTATTAATATGTTTGGATAGAATGTTTGTTGATTAATCTTCTGTAAAATAGTAATCAGAAAATTTTCCCAGGATTGTTTGGCTCATAAAACATTTGTCTTTGTATGTAATATAATTATCATAGTAAGATTTAGTTATTCTGTGAATATGAGCATTAGATTCTGATTTGTTGTAATAGAATTTAACACAAATCTTTAAATAAACTGCTTTATGTTACATCATTTTATCTAATTTATGTATTAATACATCAAAAGAGCATCTACATTTAAATGACTGTAGACTACTTCAGGTTTTACAGAAATATATGGAGAGAAGTAAACATTTTTTTTCATAAGATTGAGACCCAATCTGTTGCTCTGATGACAAATATATTTGTCCACAAACTAAAATGCATCTATAGGAAATGAATTAAAAATGTATGAAAGTGACAATGAGTTTTCTAAAGCTAAGATTTTTAAAATATGAGAGCTTTGTCTTGTTTTTTTTTTTTTTTTTTTTTTTTTTTTTTTTTTTTTTTTACATACATCAGAGTAGTATTTAGTAACATTTTATTGATTAGTTTAATGTTTAAAAAAAAAATTAATGATCTGTAAAATAAAGCAAAAATTTGTGATAATTTGAATAGCAATTATTTTCTTTCATATTTTGTTGAAAATTGATTATTTTGTCCATTACATAGAATAAGAAATGTCATCACAAATCTGTAATCATTTTTTTTAAATTGCAAGTAAAAATATGATTAGAAGAAATAGTTTTAAAAAATGGTAATTATTTTTCTGGTGCTTTGAAAGTGTTTTATGGCGAGGGTGAGTTAAAAAGGAGGGAAACACGGCCACAAAAATGAAGAAAAAAGCAACTGAAAGAGAGTGGGCGATTGCTGTTTTGTCTAATTCAGACATTCAGTCAGATTACAATAAATACCAGTTTTAAACGAATTGACAGGAGACAACATTCTGCTAAAATAAAGACGAAGCTATTAGAAAATATTTTTTTTTTAAGCGCAACAGATGGATTCACTTGTTAATAAGTTTCTGAACAAAAAAAATATATATATATAATTCGTTAATTTGACTGATTCTGCTGGAGCTTTTCAATCCCTGCTGCAGTATTTATATTAATTAAATAGAGTTTCCTGTGAGATGTTGGAGTCCAGCAGAGTGTGCGTGTTATGAAGAGGGGGGGTGGCTCTTTCATATCTGGAGCCTATCGCGTCCTCTCTGCGCGCTCCTGACACTCCTCCAAAATATGACCACTTAATATATGTCACAGGTTAAAAAGTGGAGCGTGTGTTTGAGTCACTGTTAGAGTCAAATAAAAGACATTCACCCACTTGTGTAGTAGTAAAAAAAAGGCAAAGTTGGGTGTGAACGGAGCGTGTTGGAGATGTTTTGTCACCTCTGAGTTTAAATGTGCCGCATGTCAAAGCGCTTTCTCTCCTAAGTCAGGATAAAATAGCTCAGACTCCTCTGTTTTTCTGCTTACTTTTCTTTTCCTTTTTTTTTTTAAAACTGGAAGTCTGGGTTAAGCTTATGACTTTTGACACAGTCCGCGAGCGACGCTGCAAATGGGCGGCATAGGTGGCAGCCTCTACCTCAGCATGTTGAATGGGACTGAAGCGCAAACTCTCGGAAAAAGCCTCGACATCAGCACCCACCTCCACCGCGGCGGCAAGGATCTAGCCGATTTGAAGATGGGCATCCAGGACGCCCGATTCTACTATTCGGACTCTGTTCAGAGCGGCCAGGACCCTCTGACCCTGCCCTACCACCCGGAGCAGACTGTGGGGGGGTACGGGACTCAGCCCGGCAGGTTTTACGCGCAGACCTTGAGCGGATGTCCCTACGGCGGCATGCGCTCTCCGCCGAGGAGCGGCACCGTGCAGGGATACGTCCCCGCGGCGGGAGAGGGGTTCCCCGCTGGAGGTAAAGAGCCAGTGTACCCCTCCTCTGCAGAAAACTACCCAGCGAGCTTCCAGCACGGCTACCAGCGGCCTCTCTACCCTTTACCTGGGCTGCAGGTGTGCGGGAAGACCCAGGTCCTGCTCAATAACTACCCGCTGTGGGCCAAGTTTCACAAGTTCCAGACCGAGATGATAATCACCAAACAGGGCAGGTAGGACGACAAATAAAAGTTTATGCAAAGAAATCAGACGATTTCTGAGAGTTTGGATCTGTGCAAACTTTTATATTATCACAACTCAGGCATCAGGACCTTTGAAAACTTATTTTTCTTTTTCCAATTTTGGTTTTCTGATTATGATCGCTTACAATTACCAGTCTTGCATTGCTAAAATAAACTTTATTGCATAATATTTTATTATTATATTGTATTTACGTTTTTAATTATAATGAATTAAATTAACATTAATGCAACACCTACATTTTCAAAATGGGCACAATCTCTGAACTGAGCTATATTGGTTTTGCAAAGACTGATGTTACTTTTTCCTCTCAAGTTTAACCATCTTTTAAAATCAGATTGCATGCAGAGAAAAATGCAAAGTTTAAAAATAATAAAACTGCTCTTACAGTGGTGAGTCAGTGCAAATGTAAATATTGATGTCAAATGAAAATAAACACACGAAAAAAATGTATAAATATTGCAGGAGCAGCCAGTGTGTAGGGGGAAAAGCGCAGAGTGAGAAAGAAAGACGCTGGCGGGCTTCTCTGCAGGTCACCGAGCATTAAGATGCAGCCACGTCGATGGGGATTAATTCTCTAATGCGCGACACTTGTGTTTGACAGACGGTATGAGGCCAACTGTTTCTCATGGTTCACATCTGTGCAGAAAAAAAAAGAATAAATCCATATCACCAATTAATGCAGTGGTATCCTCAGCTCCTCTGCACAAGCATTGTTTATTATAAATAAATGTAATCAAGCCAAAATAAGATTTTTTGTCAACAGAAAGATTTAAGGTGCTGCAGCTCTTCTTGTAGAAAACTCCACTTTGACCTTCTTTGCTCGTGCCTGTGCTCTCTGGTTGACTATATAGAGCTGAAGAAGTGGAGCACAGTTCAGACTCTTCTTTGAAGTCAACAGAAGCTTATTTAAAGGTATGAGAGTCAATTTGCAACAAAAAAAGAAATCAAAACATGAGCTGAAACCATTGTTTGACCCCCAAACTTTACATGAGATGTAGGGCGTTCCAGTCCTTTCTGCTTAGAATCCAGCTAAGGGATGCATATCTATAAAAACAGAGTTTTTTCAGTGGTTGCGCTTAGAAACGAGGAGTTAGAAACTCTTGCAGAAGTAATGCTGCTTAGTTTCTAGTGTTCCAGTACTTCACACCGAAACTGAACATGGAATAACTTCGCCTTACTCCTGTTTTACCCATTAGGACTTAATACAGGTAGTGGTTAAAATATCCCACTAAGAAATGGGAGAAAAAAAGAAAAAAACTCATCCATTATATAATCTGCAGTGAATAGTAAGAATACAACAGCAAGGCTATCATAGTCAATATACACACACACACATATATATATATATATATATATATATATATATATATATATATATATATATATATATATATATATATATATATATATATATATATATATATATATATATATATATATATATATATTTCTAATGTATTTTTGCCTTTTGCTGGAAAAGTTTACTTTGGATCCACATTCTCTTCTTAAAGCGTTTTAACAATTGAAGTTCACATGAATACGAAACAGATTCAATAAAAAGTATTTTTATGTTATTTTTATAACTATTCATTGGTTGTAATAACATTGAAAATGTGTTGTGAGAGCATATTTGCTCCTTATCCCAGGTTATCTAAGAGGTCAAAGGCTTTTCCCTTTGCAGACCCACAACTCCAAAAGACTGATTGAGATGACCTACCACTTATAAATGGAAGGTTAAAGGCTAAGAAAGAGGATCAGAGAGGGAATTGGAAATAAGCAATAATTGTACCTGTTATTGAGTCCACCAGGCTTAAGGAGTGAACAGGTTTTAGCTGTTAAGGGGGTTGAAAAGCACAGAAAATTGCATAGCATGCTTAGAATTAAAACATATTTCCACAATAATTAAGATTCAAAAACCACTAGAAGGTATAGTTTGATGTATTTGGATCACTGGTAAACATGTCACAATATATCATATTTTGACATATTTTATAGTATTTGCAGTCAGGCTGCACCAAAGTGAATATTTTTGTCTAATTACAGTCATAATATAGTTTCAATGGTGAAATGGAAGTGCATTAACCAGATTAAGGAATTTAAAAGCAAATATGTCTTTGATTTGGCTACCTGTTGTATTTTATTCTCCCGCTTTACAAATTAGCTGCAGGATAGATGTCTGTTTATCTAGATTTTAGATATTACAACATTTAGATATTTTTGATAATACTACCCCATAACTGAGTGCCATATTTTTGTCACTACCTTTAACACGTGGCTGTGGAGATTTAGGTAACTCTTGGAAAGAAGTAAATTAATTTCTGTATAAATGAGGTGACTGGTTTTATTGCATGGCTGCATATGTTGTGCCTTTGTGCATGCATGCAAAACATTCAGGTGAAGATGTGGCTTTCCTTTCCTGTTTATTGTTATTTATACTCAGGTGTGTGTATGTGTGTGTGTTTCTTTTGACTTTAATTCTCCTTGACAGCTTCCTCTCCAGATACACTCACTGTGGTCAGTAGCTTTTAGTCCAGCAGGTCATGTAATTAAAGTGTTTTTTTTTTTTTTTTTTGAGGTAAAAATAGTTTTATATTAACCCCTTCAAGGATTTCTAACAAACTTTATTTGTGGGGCGAGTTTTCAATCCACATATGAGAAAAAAGCCAATTTCACGTTGTGCAAAAAAACCACAGAACTCACATTACGACAATTTCAATTCCTAATAATGACTGTTCGGTTGATCCCTTTTTTTTCCCATCTTCCTTGATGCGCACAAACAAACAAGAAATAAGTTTTTAAGCAACAAAAACGATTGAAGGGAAGTTGAGCAGAGCAGCAATAAAAACAGAACCTCTTTTTTTTCTTCAATATCAGAGGCAAAATTCTCGTAAAATTTTTATCATGGGTTCAGGCCCCAGAAGTACATTTGCTGTGATTTCAGAGAGCAGTCTGAGGGTCTGCAATGTTAATCAAAACATCTGCAGGAGGAATGGTGAGAGAAATGTGAAGGGATCGGTCAAACACCAGCGAAGCTTCAGATGGCCACACCGAGGAGCTGAGGCCCCTTTGAAGTTCAGGAAGTAAAAGACGAGATTCTTCTTCTCTCTCTTTCTTTTTTCCTGCTTTCTTCGCCAGATACATGCAGGGTGCAAAGATCTCTCAGAAGTCTTTACTCATGTAGCACACCTGGCCTTTGAAATATAGATGCGTTTTCATGACCTGGTGGCAAAGTGAGGGCGAGTTCATTGGCGCTTCTCACCAGCCAAATTCAGATCACCGCACGAGAGGCTGCCATTTCTGCTCCCGTGTCTGTGGCAAAGTTCAGGCAGGCTGGGTGGCTGTCGAGGCAGCGCCATTCAACGTTCAAAGTCAAACAGCTTGATTTTGTTCTAGAGAATGGGATTTTACTCTGGTTTGGTTTTGAAAGATATTATGCAACTAAAACTGAAACAAGAAAGTGAATTTTCCTCTCCATCGATCTTTGCTTGGGCCAGTTTGATGATCCCACACCTGGGGTGTTTTTTTTTTATTCAGATATGAGTCAAAAAAGAAAAGTTTTCCTTGCAGTGGGTTCCAAAAAGCACATGCATGATTTTAAGGGGACTTTTTATTAAAACTGCAGCATTTCTTTTTGTTTTACTTTTCAAACTTCTCCAATATGCTTATATTGTCTAACAAAGGTCCTTAAAGGAACATTTAAGAGTTAACTATTATTATTCTTCAAACAGGTGAGATGCCAGCACTTATAAAACCTTCAGTATAAAGAAAAAAGGGTCCTTAAAAAATTCTAGTTATAATGAATAAATGAGACTGAAGTTGAAAGACTTGATTGTGATACAAACAGAATAAATATTGTTTTGTGTTTGAATTATCTGGCTACTATTTTCTTTGTTAGCCTTTTAAATAAGAAATGATCACTAATATCTGAACGTGCTCCAGGAAAGAGAATAGACTGACTAAGATGTCACCTTGCAAACATCTTTTAGGGAAATAAGGTAGATTTTCACACTTGGAGGAATCATGCTCATCTGCTCTCTCTGCTCCGCTGAGTCCAAACTCTGACACGCATCGGTTTGATGTCTGGTAGCTTTTCAAAAGGAAATAATCCTTTGATATGGTGCGCTTCCAAGGATACTTTAACAGCAGGTATTAAAGTGAGTAGCTGAGGCTAATGGACATTAACACAAGGTTGTGTTGTTACCAGAAGAAACACGCTATACTTGATAATTGGTTCAGTTTCTAGTTATTTGTCCATCTCAAATACATGTTGGTTCATAAGATGTTGAAAAGTTTAACCGTTGAGATGCCAATCTGCAGCCGTTTGACATTTCTTCTCAAATAGCATCACATGGATTTTATGTAAAGCAGGCCTCCTGATTAAGCGAAATGTTTGGAAGTAATTTTTATTCATCTTCTCACTCGCTGTTTAAAAAGCAGAAGCAGGACTATTTCAAGGTTTTGACAGTATGACCAGTCATTTCCTGTTCAGCTGTCTATGGGTGCCTTTGCAGCCTTTTCGCAGAAACATCTAGTGCCAATATTTTCACACAGGCGAGCTGAGCACTTCCTCCTTTCGTGCAAATAAACTCCTCTATTAGATGGGCGTTCAAGTACACCACAGCATGAGCCGCAGTCCTATTAATACTATCCTCAGCACCGCTCTTTAACACAGCAGGGAGAGGTTCTATATTTGGTGTCAGTAAGGTCAATAAAATTGCAAAGGTTTACTAAAAATTGCGTTATCTAAAGCCTGTTTTAAATTAAATGTTAGATCTCACCTTTGAGAGGTAAAAGGTTTCATGAGTGCACCTAAAGCTCCACTGCTTTTAAGTCATCAGTTGTGGTAAAAGTTGAGTTGAGCAGTAGCTGTCTCTCTGCCATCCACAAATGCCTAAATTTGTCTCTAACAAAGTCAAATCTACTCCATTTTTCATTAGCTTGAAAAAACAATGTTACAACATGTTGCAAT